CCCACCTAACTACTAACTCACCGGCGTGTGGCTTAAGTACGGCTGAGCGGACGGGAAGCCCTGTTCTCCACACCCTGTGGTCGCATGTACTTGGAAGAGTAACTGAAGGGTCGATAGCGCGGGCATCTGGCCATCCATATTCACATGAAGTAAACGACCAGAACACCCAACACTTTCCCAGGGCAGCTCAGGCAGCTTCCATGCGACCCAGCATACACGTTGCAGAACAGAAAAGCAAAGGCAAAGAAATTGCAAAGAGAACCATTATCGACGTACCTCCATAGCCCGTGGCGAAATGGCAATCTCAAGTGGTTCTCCGTCATCTCCGGTTCTCGGATTTTGAATGACCTTTGTAGCCGGGCGAACAGGCGAGGATGAAAACCCGGCGTAGCGCTGACGAATGGAGTGAGGGATCTGGGAGCGTGCAACTGAGCCTTGGAGAAGTGGTTGAGTTGCGACAGTGGCTGTCCGGCGAGAGATGAATTGACCGTCGGGGAATGCGGAGAGGCAAGTCGAGCGGGAAGTTGAGAAGAGGCGACAAGCTGGGGTTTGTGATAGCCGCCGAGCAGCTGTGGATGATAATAGAGAGCGTGGCATTGTGTGATATGGTATGATATGGTATATGTGAAAGAGAGAGGCTCAAGAAGAAAGGTCGTTTTGCTTAGATATCAAATCATCCCATTCCGCCCGGGCGATTACTTCGGGTTAGTCATTTCGGCAGTGACACCATTGGTCAGAGCCAGTCGGGGGAGGGTGGCAGAATATGTCTTGATCAGGAAGGGATCGTCGAATGGTGGGGGACTGCAGGTAATTGCACATCTGCAAGCCTCAATAATTGCAGCTCGCAAGTGAAAGTCACGATATCAGATTGACCCCGTGATTCATGATTCAGATCTGAATTGGCTGCCATGGGTTCTAGACAGCACGTCCGGGATATCAAAAGCGGTCCCCCGCTCCACTACACGGATGATATCAGAGCATACAAGAAAGAGTATGCTGAGGCTCTTGATGCACAAGATCCGCTTCGGTCTTTCCGGGATGAGTTCATTATTCCATCTAAGAAGGACCTGACGAGAAAGACACTCGCGGTTGATGAGGGTAGGTATTAGACCTCGGCTTTCGAGCATCTGTTCTGAATTCAAATTGCTTATTTCTCAGTAGGCAAGGAAGCATTGGACCCAAAATGCATCTATTTCTGCGGTAACTCACTGGGTGTTCAACCTTACAGCACTCGCAGATATATCGAGCAGTATCTACGAACTTGGGCAACCAAGGGCGTGACTGGTCACTTTGTGCCGCATGAAGATCAATTACTGCCTCCTTTTGTTGACGTGGACACTGCAGCCTCCAAACTTATGGCTCCTATTGTAGGTGCCTCTCAAAGTGAGGTGGCAGTAATGGGCACCTTGACTGTCAATTTACATCTGTTAATGGCAAGCTTCTACCGTCCAACAAAAGAGAAGTTCAAGATCATCCTGGAGGGCAAGGCCTTTCCCAGCGATCATGTATGTTGCCAGCCGGGTAGTAACCCATGATAATTGCGGGATGTTTCTGGGTACTGATACGGACACATAGTATGCAGTCGAGTCTCAAATCCGTCATCACAACTTTGACCCGAAGGAGGCCATGGTTTTGATCGAGCCCGAGAATCTCGATAAGCCTACATTGAGTACGGAACAAATCCTCAAAGTTATTGATGACAATGCTTCCAGTACGGCACTGGTACTCCTCTCGGCTATTCAGTTCTACACAGGACAGTACTTTGACATCGAACGGATCACGGCGCACGCCCACTCGAAGGGTATCATGATCGGCTGGGACTGTGCCCATGCCGCAGGCAACGTGGATCTTCGTCTTCACGATTGGAACGTGGACTTTGCAGCCTGGTGCAATTACAAGTATCTCAACAGCGGACCGGGTGGAATAGCAGGTCTATTTGTCCATGACCGCCACGGCCGCGTAGATGAGAAACAGCCCGACAGTGACGAGACATTTCGTCCTCGATTCTCCGGCTGGTGGGGTGGAGATATCAGAACACGCTTCAATATGGAAAACAGTATGTATTTGGTTGAGTTGGTATATGGGATGCAAGACTAATGAATGTAGAATTCCAACCACAACCCGGAGCGGCTGGTTTCCAGCTGTCGAATCCCTCTGTTCTGGACATTAATGCTGTCGTCGCATCCCTCGAGATCTTCAATCGAGCAACAATGAAAGAGATCCGGCAAAAGTCCTTGAATCTGACAGGCTATCTGGAACACCTGTTACTCAAGTATCCTCTGGATGCACCGCCCGAAGATAAGCCGTTTACCCTTATCACACCCTCAAACCCAGCCGAGCGAGGCGCTCAGCTCAGTCTGCGTCTCCAGCCAGGATTGTTAGATCATGTCCTGCATCAGCTGGAGGAGAACGGGGTGGTTATTGACGAGAGGAAGCCAGATGTTGTGAGAGTTGCCCCTGCGCCGTTGTACAACACCTACGCCGAAGTGTGGGAATTCTCTCAGATATTCTTGCAGGCGTGCAAAGATGCAGTCAACGCCCGCTAAATGGTTAGTCTCAGTTCTACGACCTATACATCGGACATAAGCCCAATCTCCGATGCATTTCTTCGGAGAAAAGGAAGGATTTTCATAGTGCAGGTACACGTAGCATGACTCTGAATAACGTTATTCAAATTGAACATAGAAATACTGTACAATCAAATACGCCAATAACCCTGTTCTGTTGCTTATATTGTATTCCATTGCTTATAATAGCGCCTTATGTGCTGATCGGCTCAACCCGCCGATCAGCGTCAAAAAGCGAAGCTTCGGCTTCTCGGCACCCATTTGTTATCTCCAAAATTGAGTGGCCCTCAACTCGTGGGGTAGTGAAAAAAGCAATATGACTCTTGACTCTATTTGCCCATAGCTCTCTGGGGCATATCACCTGGTGGTTGGTTGTAACCTCCTCGCCTACCATGACGGAGAAGGAAATACAAGAAACCTCTGTGCCCGACCCAGAATCACAGCCAAAAGCAGCAACTCAAGGCGGGGATGTCACTGATGTCGACTACTCGGTCTTCACAGACAGCCAGCGGCGTTATATTGTCTTTATGGCATCATGGGCTGGGTTTTTCTCGCCAGTCTCATCCCAGATCTATTTTCCCGCTTTGAACACTTTAGCGAAGGATCTTCATGTGTCCAACTCTTTGATCAATCTAACTTTGACAAGTTATATGGTGGGTCCTCTTATAGTCCGATTCCTACTACGCGATAACTGACCAGGGCGCAGATCTTCCAAGGACTGTCGCCCATGTTCATTGGCGATTTTGCAGACAAGGCTGGACGACGACCAGCATACATTGTCTGCTTCACAATCTATATTGCAGCCAATATCGGACTTGCCCTGCAGAGCAACTATGCAGCTCTTTTCGTGCTCAGATGTCTGCAGAGTGCAGGAAGCAGCACCACCATCGCCCTCTCATCTGGCGTGGTCTCCGATGTGGCCACTGCATCCCAGCGAGGCTCCTACATGGGCTTTGTAACTGCTGGCTCTCTAATGGGACCTTCAGTGGGACCAGTGGTTGGTGGTCTATTATCTCAATACCTGGGGTGGCGCGCCATCTTCTGGTTTTTGACCATCTTTGCCGGAGCGTTCATGATACCTTTCCTAGTCTTCTTCCCAGAAACAGCTCGTGGTATTGTCGGTGATGGGTCACTGCCTCCTCAAAAATGGAATATGTCCCTGATCAGCCACCTTAAATCGAGAAAATCTCGTGAAGAGGGCGTTATTCCTCCTGCCAGTGCCTCGAAGCAGAAACTCAAGTTCCCCAATCCTTTTCAGACGCTCGTCATTGTCTTTCAGAAAGATGTCGGCATAATTCTCTTCTGTAATGCTGTTCTTTTTGCGGGATTCTATGATGTGAGCGCAACTATTCCCTCCATCTACAATGAGCTATATGGTCTGGACGATCTCCAAGTCGGTCTTTGCTACATTCCATTTGGCCTCGGTGCCACTATCGCTTCAATTGGCAATGGCAAGTTCCTGGACTACAACTACCGCCGACTCGCAAAGAAGCTGAATTTCCCCTTGGCCAAGAACCGGCACACCGACCTGCGGAACTTCCCCATCGAGAAAGCTCGCCTTCAGATTGCATTCCCTCTTCTCGCTTTAGGTAGTCTCAGCATCCTTGTATTTGGATGGTTCTTAAACTACGGGGTCCATCTTGCTGCACCAACATGTATTCTTTTCCTTATGGGATTGACTTTGACGGGTGCATTCAATACTATCAGTACACTGCTGGTTGATCTATACCCAACACAAGCGGCCAAGGCCACTGCTGCCAACAATTTCGGGCGTTGTTTGCTGGGAGCTGGTGCCACGGCGCTCATTGATCCTATGCTTTCGGCTATGGGCCGTGGATGGTGTTTTACTTTCATTGCACTTATAATGTTGGCAACTTCACCGCTGCTTATGATTGTCATTCGAAAAGGACCTCATTGGCGCGAGGAGCGTCGTTTGAAGGAGGAGGCTAAGGTTGGGGGCGAGGGTGCCCTAAGAAGCGAGAAGTGACCAACACTTCGTTACGTGACACAAGACATCCGCAACCACTCTATCTTAGGGTAAAAAGAGGTAATTCATTTTCTCAATGCCATAAACCCGAATTGCTATCTCGCAGTGTTTGGAACATGTTCCTCATGAATCATGACAATTTGTTTCCCGGCACGTATCCAAATCCACCCAAGTCTCGTTCGCCATGTCGCAAAGGAAAGAAAGCTCAACACAAACTGTGTAAATCATAAAGCTGGACATTGAGACCCCTATCCGTATCACTCCATCTCATCTTTAAACTCGTCCATCTTCAAAGCATGCCTCCCATTACGATTCAGAAGCTGTATCTTCTCATTCACCGCTCGAGTCTGTTCTGTCCTTTTGGCATCCGCTTCTTTGACAACGTCATCTAGCCATTCGGGCTACAAACTTGTGGCCTTTCGCCAGTGATTCCAAGAGGGTTCTCTGGGGAATCAAATCCTTCAGGTCCGTAGACCATTCCATATTAGATGCAAAATGATACCACATATTAACCTTATCATTATCCTGAAATATCGACGATAGACCTTTCCCCTTTGAATGCGTGAACCTTGGTTAGCTTTGTGATCTAAAAGCTCTTCGATATCTTTTAGGAGCTCCTATTTTCGTTTTGCTAAGAGCGCTTCTGTTGCAACTTTAGTGCCAACACGTCACATGTAGTTTGGATATCGTTACGAAGCTTTTCGTTCTGTACATGCCGAAGAAGGGTTCTTTTCAAACCTTTTGATCCCAAGAATTTCATTTGTGGGGGTAGCATATGCCGTTAGAAGCTTGATGGCCGTATCGATCTCTTTCGCGAGCATTTCGCTAGTGAGGGACAATCGTACAAAAGACCGAAGTAGTGTTTCAACCTTGTAACACAGGTAGCCCTATAAACAGTACCTTAAGTCTTGGCCAAGACCTGAACAGTTGGGGGATAAACACTTGAGAAGCTCAGATTCGCTGTGTTTGATAAACTTGTACTGTGCAACCATCACACCTATGCAGTTGCTCTGTAATCTAGACATCATCTTTCAACGGACTTA